CACGCTGGAAGCTCAGACTTTTGGGGGGAGGGGCACTTTTTGAAACCTTAAAATTTGTACCCCCATAATATGCCGAAATAAAAAAAAAGAAAGAAAAAAAAAGAAGAATGTATGCAACATCATAGTTTACATACAAAATGTGTGTTTATACACATTTGCATTTAGCCATATACATATTTTACACTAATATAATGGTTAATATACATAATATTGTATTCTTCATTTTTCAGTTAATATTATTTTCTGATGGAACCAATTTTATTGCCCAAAGGAGCAATATTGGAGGGGGCAGGAGAGAGTTGATGGAGCAGGAAACCCTAGACACAGAGTGGCAGGAGAGGGAGCAGGAGGGCGGCAGCCCCGTGCTGGGCACACTTAGTACACAGTTCCTCAGGCCACGGTCATGGAGGCCATGAGAGAAGAGAAGAGGAGATGAGCTGAGGTGTGCTGAACAGGAAAGACCCTGAGGCAAAGCAGGGACCCAGGACACAAGAAGTGAAAGGTGTAAGAGAAAAAAAAAGGGTGGAGGCAAATGCACCAAATCCTATTTGAGAGGGCCTTGAGGAGAGCCGGGGCTCAGGTGAGGAATGACGTGAGCAGAGCGCAGGAAGCCCCACAAGTTCAGAGAAGCAGGCACTGGTTTGCATGTGAAGGGGTCAGCAAGTCCTTCAGCATCCTCAGAAGTAAAATGAAAATTAAAATAAACCATATTAGAGAGAGAGAGAAAGAGAAAGCTAGGTAAATAAAGATGGATATACATATATTTAGATATCAATATCAATTTTTATGTTTAAAAATGTAATAAATATAGATGGCTATATATTTATATCATTGGTTTTAGTCTATTTTTTCTAAACCGAGAAACAAGCCATATATAATATTATATGATATTTATAAATTGGAGTTAATGCAATAAACTAAGGAAACTAAATAAGCATTACAGATGTCACAGAACAAGGGAGAAAATTATTAATTTGTAAATATCTATGTCATGTTGATAGTTTTCTTCCATTTTTTTTCATGGTTTTAACTGAAAATGAAGGTTGAATTTTACCAGATGCTTCCTACAGCATTTATTGACATGATAAGACTATTTTTTCTTTTTAATTTGTTATCATGAATTATGATAGATGTCTTAAAATTGAACCATTCTTACATTACTAGAATAAGTCCTTCATGATAAAGATGGATTATTGCTTTTTATGTAGACTTCTGGATTTAACTTGGTTTTATTTTAGAGTTTTGTATCTCTATAAGTTAAACTTATATAGAATTGTCTTTTTTGCATGCTATCTTCATTGAGTTTCAGTAATGCTAGCTTTATAAAATGAATTGGGAATCTTGCCATCTTTCTATAGTTTAAGATGGTTTGACATTGGATTCATCATTCTTTGAAGATTAGATGGAGCTCACCTATAAAAACAAGCTGGTCCTGACATTATTTTAAATGATTGGCATTCAACTGCCTTTCCAATTTCTTAAATAATTATTAGTCTGTTCAGATTGTTACCTCTTTTTTAAATTAATTCATTTCTCTAAGTTTACCAAACATTCACACACAATATTCTCATATGTCTGTAGCCCCTTCCTTATGGGACTACTATTGCCTTTCTCAATATTAATGTTGTATGTTTGGGGTTTTTTCCTCTCTTTTTTCATTAATTATGCTTTTCTACTTAATCTTTTCAAAGAGGCATAAGTAATGAACAATTAACTGCATATTTTGAATGAACAATTTGATGAATTTTTGAATACAGTAACCCTCCTTATTTGTGGTTTCACTTTCCATGATTTCAGTGCGGTCAGGTGTGGTCCATTATTACACAGAACAATGTAATTATTACATAGTCCATTATTACACGGAAAGTTCCAGAAATAAACAATTCATAAATTTTAAATTGCATGCCGTTCTGAGTAGCATGATGAAATCTCACATCCTCTCTCTCTCTCTGTTCCACCAGGGATGTGAATCATTTCTTTGTCCAGCAAATCCTTGTGGTACACACTACCTGCCCATTAGTCACTTAGTAGCCCTCTTGGTCATTAGATTGACAGATAACAACAACAGGAAGCTGAATACAGTACACAGTAAGGTATTTTGAGAGAGACCACATTCACATAATTTTTATTTGAGTATATTATTATAATTGTTTTATTTTTTATTAGCTATTGTTAATCTCTTACTGTCACTAATTTATAAATTAAACTTTATCATTGGTATGGATATATAAGAAAAATTATGTTATATATAGAGTTTGGTGCCATCCTTGGTTTTATGTGTCCACTGGGGGTTTTATAAAGTATTCCCTGTGAATAAGGGGGACTAATTTATTCACACACCTGTAAAACCATTGCCATAATAAGAAAAATTATCATTTTGAGTTTTTTAGTTTTTCCAGTACCTTAATTTCAGATTATATATTTAATAGTATATCTTTATATTTGCATATGTGTGTATTTTATTCTTTCCAATTCCTTAAGTAAAAATTAGCTCATTTACTTTTAATCTTTATTTATAAATAAAGTCAATTCTCTTTATTCATGGTAGTTATGTTTTAAAAAGTCACTGTAAACACTGAATTAGTATATTCAAACCCATTTCTCCTAGAAGGAAATACAGGTTAGGTTCCTGTGAGCCTCTGGACTCAAACAATCAATACATAACCTGTTTTATGTGTGTTTCTGTTTAAAGACACCTTACTTAATATATATTATCCATTCATTACATTGAACTTATGGCCACATACTTAACTCATATCTGAACAAAGCTTATCTAGGACACATTATAGCTTTTATTCTCTTAGAAACACTATAAAAACAAAGACCATATGATCCTCTCAATAGACAAAGAAAAAGCATTTGACAAAATTCAACACCCTTTTATGATAAGAATGCTTAACAAAATAGGCATAGATGGGACTTACCTAAAAATGATACACACCATATATGACAAACCCACAGCAAACATCATACTGATTAGGGAAAAATTGAAAGCATTCCCACTTAGAACTGGAACCAGACAAGGTTGCCCTCTATCACCACTTCTATTCAACATAGTGCTGGAATTCCTAACCAGAGCAATCAGACAAGAGAAGGAAATCAAGGGCCCTCCAAATGAAGGCAGAAGAGATCAAACTATCTGTCTTTGCTGACAATATGGTCATATATCTAGAAAAACCCAAAGATTCTACCATGAGACTACTGGAATTGATAAATTCAGCAAAGTCTCAGGTTATAAAATCAATGTCCAGAAATCAGTAGCATTTCTATATACCAACAACAGTCAAACTGAGAACCAAATCAAAGACTCAATACCCTTAACAATAGCAACAAAGAAAATAAAATATCTAGGAATATATTTAACTAAGGAGTTAAAAGAGCTCTACAGGGAAAACTATGAAACACTGAAGAAGGAAACAGCAGAGAATGTAAACAGGTGGAAAACCATACCATGCTCATGGGTTGGCAGAATCAACATTGTTAAAATGTCTGTACTACCCAAAGTGATCTACAGATTCAATGCAATCCCTATTAAAATACCAACATCATTTTTCACTATAGAAAAATAATTCTTATTTCTGTATGCACAGAACAATTGGAAAAAAAGTAAAAAAATAAGAAAAATAAGAAAGAAAGAAAGAAAGAAAGAAAGAAAGAAAGAAAGAAAGAAAGAAAGAAAGAAAATTCTACACTTCGTATGGAACCAGAGAAGACCCCAAATAGCAAAAGCAATCTTAAGCAAAAAGAACAAATTGAGAGGCATCAATTTACCAGACTTCAAGCTATACTACAAGGCTATAGTAACTCAAACAGCATAGTATTGGCACAAGAACAGAGACAGACCAATGGAACAGAACTGAAAACCCAGATATAAAACCATCCTCTATATAGCCATCTCATCTCTGACAAAGTACAGAAAAACATACACTGGGGAAAAGAATCCTTATTCAATAAATGATGCTGGGAAAACTGGATAGCCACATGTAGAAGACTGAAAGAGAATCCACATTTTTCACCTCTCATAAAAATCAACTCACAGTGGATAACAGACTTAAACCTAAGGTATGAAACTATAAAAATTCTAGAAGAAAATGTTGGAGAAACTCTTATAGAAATTGGCCTCGGCAAAGAATTTATATACATATAACTCAGGAAAATCAGCAAGAAAAAATCAAACAACCCTAACAAAAAGTGGACAAAGGACATGAACGAAAACTTTTCAAAAGAAGATAGACTAATGGCTAACAAACATATGAAAGAATTCTCAACATCTCTAATCATCAGGGAAATAAAAATCAAAACCACAATGAGATATCACTTATCTCCAGTGAGAATGGTCTTTATCAAAAAGTCCCCAAACAATAAATGTTGGCATGGATGCTGAGGGATAGGAATACTCATACATTGCTGGTGGGACTGCAAACTAGCACAACCTCTGTGAAAAGCAATATGGAGATAACCTCAAAGAGGTACTAATAGAACTACCATTTGATCCAGCAATCCCATTACTAGGCATCTACCCAAAAGACATTCTATTAAATAGAACAAAAGACATTCTATTAAAAAAAATTTGCACTAGAATGTTTATAGCAGCACAATTCACAATTGTAAATATGTGGAAACAACCCAAGTGCCCATCAACACATGAGTGGATTAATAAAATGGGGTATATGTATACCATGGAGTTCTACTCAGCCACAAAAAAACAATGGTGATAGAGCACCTCTTGTGTTATCCTGGATAGAGTGGAAACCCATTCTACTAAGTGAAATATCCCAAGAATGGAAAAACAAACACCACATGTACTCACCATCAAATTGGTCTTAACTGATCAGCACTTATGTGCACATAGAGTAGTAACACTCATCAGATGTCATGCAGATGGAATGGGGGAGGAGGGGATGGGTATACACATGTAATAGGTGCGGTGCGCACCGTCTGGGGCACAGACATGCTTGAAGCTCTGACTTGGGTGGGGCAAGGGCAATGTACATAATCTAAACAATTGTACCCCCGTAATATGCTGAAATAAAAAAAAATTAATTCCAGCTTCTAGTTAGAGTAAGCTTTATTGTTAACCTCATAATGGGAAGTCACACCAGGAGTGGGAGACATGTGACCCATCTACCTGCACTTGCTCTTGCATTATTGACATTGCTGTCAATCTGCAGTTTCCGTGTAGGGGATCTTTCTAGCTACCCTTCCCGGGAAGGGCGGTTGTAATAGCTTAATTTAGTTAAAGCCAGGTTCTGTAATCTGCAAGTCCACATACTGGGCACACAAAAATATGCTGAAAGCACATGAGCAAGCAAGGGAGGGAACCCCTGTCAACCTGTCTGCATTTGAGAAAGCCTCATCTTCCCCCAGGATGCCTTGAGAACTACGCATGGCACGTACCCACCGGACATATGAACTAAATGAGGGCACCATGTCAACGCAGATGTTAAATATTAGGAAAAGCTTATGTTTCTCATGTAGATAAAAAGTAATACAAGTAGACATTCTGTAACATTCTCTACCCACCCTATTCTGGAGCCCCTCCTTTAGAGCCCCCAGCTGTGGACCTAGGGGATCAGCAAAGGCCTGAGTGTGGGGGGCTGTCCAGGAAGCACAGCCAGCTCCGGAGGACGCAGGGAGAGGCGGTGGGGAAAGGACAAGGTGGAGGGAGAGAGAGCGAGTTCGGGGCTCTGCCACTCTGCCTGGCCAAGTGCTGATGCTCAGGCGCTGCTTCACGTGGCTACAGGCCACGCGACTGGCTCAGGTCCTGCCACTGGGCCAGAACATCCAGCTCCACCAGCTCATGGGCTGTGTGGTGGTTGGGCTGTCCCTCGTGCACACGGTCGCCCACGTAGTGAACTTCAGTGAGTGGCCTGGGGCGGGGCTGGGGGACTGAGCAGCTCCCAGGCCAGAACGCAGGGCACAGCCCGTGTGTCCTGCCCACCCAGTGGGTGGAGAAGGGGTGCCTGGGTAAGCCAGCACTCTGGACGAAAGTCCCTATCTGCGCAGCATCTAATGGGGTGGGATGGGGCTCCCAAGGGGCAGGCGGAGTGGGAAGAGCTGGTCTCCTGCTTGTCTCCAGGCTCCAGGCTCAGGCGGAGGTCAGCCTGGGCCAGTTGTGGGAGCTGCAGCTCACCAGGAGGCCTGGCACTGGCTAGGTGCTCGACTCGTTCCCAGGGGCGTTGCTCTCTGCTCCGTCTGCACGAGCGGCCACCTGGAGGTGCCCCAGGCCCGCCCCTTTGCCTCTCCCCAGGCCAGGCTCCCACCTTCATTGCTTGCTGTGTCCCCTGTGGCCCCCTATAAGGTTCCAGAACCCAGGAAGGTCCCAGGCTGGTGTGCATATTATTTGAATGTGATTTGGGCTCTGCCACGGGGCTGTAGTTTATCTGCCAAGTAAAGAGGTTTTGCTTCGGAAGGTCCTGCCTTTATGCCAGCTTAGCCCCTTGTCCTACTTGAATTAAGCTGGGCTCAGAACAGCAGAGAGAGAGAAGGAACACAGGCTCAGCAGGTTTCAAATCCCCACCCCACACTTGCTCATCACTCAGCCTTTCTGAGCCTCAATTTCCACATGTGTAAAATGGAGGTGTAATTCTCTACCTTTGACATTATTTTAGGAATTACATGATAGGATACATATGAAGCCACTACCTACATAGCTGACACATAGGTACTCTGAAAATGTTCCATCTTCACTATCCTCAAGATGCAGGAAGCCACAGAGAATTTGGTTTGGAGACCCTGACTGTCCCCTGGCCTGGCCCAGCCATGTGGGAAGTAGACAGACACTGAGCAGCTACCTGGGCCAACAGCAAGCCTTCAAAGTGGGAGGCAGCATTTTCTCTCGTTCCTTTGACCAAGGTCTTCTGCTCTTTTTTCTACACTCCCAGGAAGCTGTTGCTGTCTTTCCTTTCTTCCTCCTGAGGATGGGTCAGGGGATGGGGACACTGATGCTCATGACCCATTGGGTCACTCCACTCTGCCCAGAATGTCCTTGGCAGATGGCTCAGGTGTGTGCCTCTGGTATCAGGGATCCCCCTCACAGCCTGCCTTGGCCACGCCCCCAGAGCAGAATTAACGAAGCTTCCCAAGCCCAACCTCTTACTCAAGCCTGTCCCCAGGAGAGGGTCAGGCTCTGGGCCACATCCTGGCTTGGGAGATGGCCCTGAGCCCTGGCTCTGTTGCACCCCCAGCCCGTCAGCCCTGGAAGTTGAGTCCTATTGGACTTACCTGTCCTACCGCCCCGTGTGGCTCCTGCTCATCTTGCATGGGCCTGGCCTCTTGTTCTTTCTGGAGAAGGCCATCGGACTGACAGTGTCCCACCTGGCAGCCCTGTGCACCATGGAAGTCAATCTCCTCCCCACCAAGGTACAAGGGGGGGCCCTTCCCCATCTTACCCTGAGGAATGGGTGGCAGGGTGCAGTGATTTGGTACCTGCTAGAAATAGGAAATAGGAAGAGTGTAGCTGCAGCCCCAGGGCTATGGAGAGATAAGCAAAATGCAAGACCAGTGCAGCCCTCTGGGAGCCAGGCTTTAGGAAGAGGAATGACAGGCAGGTAGGACACCACTAAAGGCCAGGACTCAGCAGAGCATTCTCACTCAGCTCAGGAAGCATATGTCAAGTATCTACAAGGTGGCAGGGCCTGCACTGGGTCGCAGAGACACAGAGAAGGCTCAGGCACTGTCCTGCGTTCTGGGGAGCCAGCCGCTCCATTACAGTGCATGGCTATGTTGGGGCAAAGAGGTAGACTGTCTGGAGATATTAAATCCTTTGTCTTTGGGAGGTGAGAGAAGGCTTCAAAATGAGAGAGGAGATGCCATATAAAGATGTTGAGGATGCATAGGAGTTTGTTGGATAGACAGGATGGGGAAGAGTATTGCTGAGAGGAGGAACAGCAGGGCTAGGGCACAGTGCCGTGACACACACAGCGACACACAGTGACACTGTGCTTGGAGGACCACAGGCAACTTGGCTTAGCTGGAGCCACGTTGCCAGGGAGCAGCTGCAGCGGTAGCAAGGCCTGGTCACGAAGGGCTCCTGAGCTGGGAGCCCTGCCCCGCGGCCACGGGGCCCCTGCGCATGGTGGCAGGACATGTGGTGTTAAGCTGGGGCAGTTTCTATTCCAGCTAGATTCCTTTATGAAAGAAGCCTATAGAAGAAGGGGACCCTTTGGTAGGCTCTTGTGAATATGAAGATGGCAGTTCAGGAGGGCCTTGCCCCTGAGGCAGTGGCCAGGAGATGGGGGTGCACATCACAGAAAAACTCGACTTTACTGTGTTTGGGATGAGAGGGAGGACAGAGCCCGGGACGTGTCCCAGCCCCTGAGTGGTGCCATTTATGGAGGAAGGGAGGGCAGGGTAGGGCGGCTCAGCTCTGAACAAGGTGAGCGTGAGGACGTGGGGGGCTGAGCGATGAGACTGTTAGTGTCTAGGTTCTGGCCGCAGACGGCCTCGGTTGCATTCGTATCCCATGGTTTCCTGGCTGGGGGCCTGGACAAGTTATTTAACCTCTCCGAGCCTCAGCTTCTCATCCGTAAGGTGAATAAAGACTAACATCCACTGCACAGTGGCCACTCTGTTCCTTTTCTTGGTAGAGGAGCCTGAACCTTAGTAAGCGAAGGTCGACCATCAAGAAGGATCGCAAGGTCTGCTCGCGAGAGAAAGCTGCCCAAGCCTGGCGGCCACGGGTGCCAATTCAGTGCTGAGGAAGGACATTCGAACCAGGACTCAAACCAGTGGGACAGACGGGGCCTGCTCCCTGCTGGAGGCCAGCCCACGCCCCACCTCCCCTCTCACCTTGACTCTGCTCAGACTCCATCTGGTACACATCCGGTCCCAAGGCCAGTGGCTAAACAGGCTGTACGAGTCCTTCAAGGCATCAGGGCCTTGTTCTCGCATCCCATTAGCAAACGGCGATGAAGCGCAGCACCCAGCGCTTCCCAGGTTTTGTTCCAGATGCCGGATATAGAGCAATAAGCGAAATAGACGCAGTTGCTGCTCCCCTTCCGGTGGGAGACAGACAACGAACAGACAAAATAGTACATAATACACCAGGTGGTAATAAATGCTGTGAATAAAAATAAATCAGGAGCAAGGGGTAGTGAAAGGAAAAGTACGGTTTTATTAATAGATAGCATGGCGGTTCACAATAATGAGAAAATGAACATAATCACAATGCCCGGCAGAGAAGTAGCGAAATAAATTACTGATCATCCTTAGACTAGGAAGCCACCTCAAAAAAGATCATGTGGATTTAAATGTGTGAACATGGAAAGCTACTCAGGATGTGGGTACGTGGAAAACGCAGGTTGCAAAGTAGTATGTTCCTTTTATGTAAAAGTGTGTGTGTGTGTGTGTGTGTGTGTGTGTGTGTGTGTGTGTGTGAAACAAAGTCTGGAAGGGCAGAGAGAAAAGATTTAGGGTAGTTTCGTGGTCTGATACCTTTTTCACTTTATTGTTTAATCATTCTTAATATCTGGATTCTTAAAACTAGCATTTATAGATTTTGCGATTGAGACAATAGAGCAATTTCTGAAACAAAGCAGGGTTTGCGGTCCCCGCCCGTCCACGCCCACGCTGCAGCATGGGTGTGGTGGAGGGTGTATTGCAGAGCTGCTGTCCTACAGGCCCCGGGAGCTGCGTGGCCGGGGACACGGCCTGGCCTACAGGAAGTCGGAGGGAGGGACTTGAGCACGGCGGGAGTCGCTTCCAAGGGGGTGTTCCTGTAAGACTGAGGGGCTGGGGCTGGAGGCCCGAGGGTGGCTGCTCTGCCTTCCCAGACGGTGGGTCCTTGGCACCCAGAAGAGAGGCCCTAAGGGCCACACCTCACCTGGTGTTTCCGCAGCGGGTCACCTGCCTGCCTCCTCCCTAACTTTTGCACATTCAGCCCACCGGTAGTGTTTCCAGCTTAATCTTTCTCTTACATCCCAGCATTACTTTAAACTTAACAGTATTTCAAAAGGACTGTCTAGGTTCTTATCTCTGAAGGAGAAAGTAAACCTTGCTTCTTTTGCCTTATTCGGGGGCCGTTTTTGAAGGCAAACCAGGGGGTTTCTTTTTATTTTTAATTTTTTGTTGGAGGTTTTTGCTTGTGAGGGTTTTGGGCGGGCTGTACTCCGCCACTTCCCCTCCCTCTTTCCCACGCTGTTAAAAGGAAACGGGAGGGAAAGGCAAGGGGGACAGAGGTGTGAAAGTCCCTCGGCCAGAATGAACGGCTCCAACGTTGCCATCAGAGGATAAAAGGACAATTGAAAGGAGCGCGGCTCTGTCACAGGGAGCCTCCCAAACCCCCGCGAGGAGTCCATGCCCCACCGGGGGACAGTCTGAGTCAGCCCCAGACAAAGAAGCCACCCGGCGTGCTGTGACAACACCAGGCGGGTGGCAGGAGACCCAGGCTCTACCCGAGCCCCGGGGGACACGTCCTTCCCAGCCTTCAGCCCCTGCTCCTCTTTCCGGGCAGAGGGATGGGCCCCAGGGCCGCGAAGGCCGCTGCTAGCCTCGCCTCCTGCACCCGGAGGGAGCCAAGGGACACCAAGGGGCACCGGCCTCTCTGTCTGGAGCGGCTCGGCAGCACTTCAAAGAGCAGTAGCGACTTCAAATGAGCCGGACAAGGCGGTGGGCACCGAAGGAATTTGCCAGCTGGGGAAGAGGACATGGGTGCTCCAGGCCGGGAGGTGTGGCTAGAGCTGACGATGAGTGTCTCTGGTCACGCTTTGAAAGTGACTTGTGCTAGACGTGGAGCCATCGCTGAATTTTCAGGAATTTTGGTGCTGGTTGGGAGCGCTAGGGTGGGACCCGTGGCTGCCGTGTTCACTCCACAGAAATGGAGAGGTGCCGACAATCGAGGCTGCCGTTTTCTTCCCCCAAGGAGTCAGTTCACCAGCACAGTGCTGGGTTCTCTCTCAGAAAGGGCTCCGCGTTCCCTGAGACTGGTTTGGGCAGAAAACACGATTTCCTGTTTATAAAGTCGCTCGGACAGCAAGGGCTAGGGAGTGTCTAAGAAATGCCTAACGCCGCCCATTCCCAGAGACCCATCACTCTCTCCTCTCCCCCTGCAGACCTGAGATGTCCTCCGAGAACCTCCGATTCTGCCACATAAAGGGAAGAGGCTGCAGGGGAGGGAGGAGACGTGACCAAGAGGTCCTGCCCCACCAGAAGCAATGACGCCTTAGCCTGCGGGGAGGCAGGCCCTTCCCCACGGAACCGCGGTGCCTTGCCCTTCCAGCACGGATGCCTTCACCAACCAGGAAGCTCCACGGAGCTCTGGCAGCCAGAGTTTTTATGGAGTTTCACTACCTAGACATGATTGATTGAATCATTGGCCACACGACTGAACTCAATCTTCAAGCCCCCTACCAGTGGTCGGGCTGACTCAAAGCCCCAACCCTCTAATCACGTAGTAAGTCTTTCTGGTGACCAGATTCCACCCTAAGTCAGCTCATTTCTTAGCATAAACTCAGGTGTGATCCAAGTGGCTCATGCACAACAAAGACACCCCTATTACTTCAGAAATCCCAAAGATTTAGAGTCTCCCTTCCTCCCAAGAACCAGAGACAAAGGCTAGTCATGTTCTTCAGCATACAACAAAATTGGGTACACATTAAGGATCTTTACGTGTTCTTGATGAACTAACTACCTTATAGTTAGCTATAGTTAAGACATCATATAATGGTTCTTCTTTATCCCTGATAATATTCCTTGTTCTTAAGTCTATTTTTTCCTGATATCAGTAGAGCCACTCAAACTTTTAAAAATTTACTTATTTATGTCATAGTATTTCTTTTTTGTTTTCTTTTTTGAGACAGAGTCTCACTCTGTTGCCCAGGCTAGAGTGCGGTGGTGTCAGCCTAGCTCACAGCAACCTCAAACTCCTGGGCTCAAGCAATCTTCCTGCCTCAGCCTCCTGAGTAGCTGGGACTATAGGCATGTGCCACTATGCCTGACTAATTTATATATATTTAGTTTTCCAGCTGATTTCTTTCTATTTTTTTAGTAGAGACGGGTCTTGCTCTTGCTCAGGCTGGTCTTGAACTCCTGAGCTCAAACGATTTGCCCACTTGGGCCTCCCAGAGTGCTAGGATTACAGGCATGAGCCACTATACCCAGCCATAGTATTTCTTTTTCCATCCTTTTAAACAATCTGCATTTTTATCTTTAAAGTGAGATTCTTATAAACAACCTATAGCTGAGTCTTTCTCTTTTAAAATCCAATCTGATCATCTTTGCCTTTTAACTAGAGTTTTTACCCCATTACATTTAACATAATTAATGATATGATTTGGTTCAAATCTGCCATCTTGTTTTCTGTTTGTCCCGTCTCTTTGCTCTTTCCCTCTTTTCCTTCCTACTTTAGGATTAATTATGTAGTTTTTTTATAATACCATATTATCTCTGTTATTGGATTATTAACTATACTTAATTATCTTATTTTATTATTTAGGTGGTTGCTCTAGCACTTGTAAAATGCATCGTTAGCTTATGATGGTCTATCTCTATACTACTTCTTGTACAGAATAAGATCCTTACCATAGTGTACTTCTATACTTCCCCTTTGTGCCTGTGTTGTCATATGTTTTCTTCTACATGTGTTATAAACCCCACAGTATAATTTTTTGTCTTAATCTTTTTAAAAGAGATTTAAAATCATAAAAATACATCTTTGGTATTTATACACAAATTTACTATTTCTGGGCTCTTTTACATTTTTGTGCATAGATCCAGATTTCCATCTGGTATAATTTTCCTTCTGCTTGAAGAACTTCCTTTATCACTTCTTGTAGTCCAGGTCTGCTGGTGGTAAATTCTTATAGCTTTTGTTTGCTTGCAAAAGTCTTTATATCACCTTGAATTTTGAAAGATATTGCCACAAGTTGATTTTTTTTTCTTTCATTACTTTAAAGATGTCTCTCCATTGTCCTGTGGCTTGCATAGTTTCTGACGAGAGGATCGTTGTCATTATCTTTGTTCCTCTGCACACGGTGTGTCTCTTTTTATCTGACCACTTTTATGTTTGTATCTTTATCACTGATTTTCAGAAATTTTCTTATGATGTACCTTGGTGTGGTTTCCTTTATGTTTCTTGTACTTGAAGTTAGTTGAACTTCTTGGCTATATGGGCTTATAGTTTTCACCGAATTTAGAAAAATTTCAGACATCTTTTCTTTACGTATTTTTTTGTTTCCTTTTCCCCTTTCTGTCACTTCAATTACAGTGATATTATCTCACAGGTTACAAAGACTCTGTCCTCTCTCTCTCTCTCTTTCTCTCTCTCTCTCTATACACACACACACACACAGGTATATAAAAATATATACATATATATACACACACATATCTCCTCTTCATTATGGGTAGTTTCTATTGCTATGTCTTCAAGTTCACTAATCTTTTCTTCTATAGTACTTTATCTACTCTTCCCATCCTAATCAAAATCTAGTAGGTTTTTTAAATATATATATTGATAAGCTGATTCTAAACTTTATATGAAAAACCAAAAGACTTAGAATAGCTATTAATTCTATCACCTATATTTTTTATTTCTGTTATTATAATTTTTTTCCTCTAAAAGTTCTGTTTGGGTCTCCTTTATGTCTTTCATTTCTCTTCTCATCATATTTGTTTTGTTTTGTTTTGCTTTGATGTTCTTGATAATATTTACAATAATTATTTTCACATTTTTGTCCATTACGTCCATCATCTCTGTCATTTCTGGGTCTGTTTCTAATTACTAATTTTCTCCTGGTTAAGTCATACCCTCTGGCTTCTTTACATGCCTGGTCATTTTTATTTGATGCCAGACTTTATGAATATTATGTTGTCGTATTCTGGATTTTGTGGTATTTCTTTAAATAGAACTGTACTCTGTTCTGGTGCATAGTTATTTAGGCCTCTGTGGATCCTTTTGGGGCTCACTTTTAACTTTTGTTGGGGTGAATCTGGAGCAGCTATTAGTATGGGGTTCATTTATTGTACTACAGTGATACATTTCTGAGGACTCTACTTAATGCCCTGCATATTGCAAGATTCCTGCACTCTTCATCGTAAGACAAACTATCTCCAGCTGCTTGAGCTCCAGGTATTGCTCATCCTAATTTTTCTGGTAATTTTCTTTCACATGTGTACAGATTAGTATTCAGCCAAAGACTCAGGGGAAACTTTTTATTTTGATTTCCAGAGCTAATGAGTTCACTTCTTCCCTTTCTCTCCTCCTCTCTCTCCCTTTCTCTCTCCTTTCTTCCTTCCCTCTCTTTCTCTCTTCAATTTTCTTTTCCAGTATTGTACCTAGCAAATTCTAGCTGTCCTGGCCTCTCCAAATCCCAACTTTTGTCCCCTCACTTCAGTGAGACTGGCAT